TTTTCTAATAAGGGACACAGCTAAGGTAAGCAGGCCCCTAAGAGAGGCCGCTGTACTGGCGAAACACATATGCAGCAGAAATCGGTTAAAGTTAAACAGTCTCCAGGTGTGTCAGCAGGCACAGGAGGAATTACTACCATACATAATTCGGCGAAGTCTGGAGCTGAGATATATACTAGAAGCATGGAGAAGGGCACTATATCTAGAAGGATATCAAATAGAAGAGGGAGATTTACCTAACTTGAAGCCACTTCAAATCCTACACTTCCTTGAGAAAATAGGATTGGAAAAGTCGTTCTAAGCATTGAGACATTTCCTTGGTGCATTGGCGACAGAAGGGGGCACAATAGATCTTTTAGGTTGCAGTGTATTAACACCCCATTCCCAACATAACATAAAATACTACAACCTTTTTTTTTGTCTATTAACCAGACCTTACATTATTAAATTCTTCAGAATATCCCAAAAATATAACTTTTTCAGCTCTAGGTTCAAATTTAGATTTGTAATTCTTTTTAGAATATAGCCTTGGCTTACAAAAGTTTTTAAAATTTTTAATATTAGTTTTGGATCCAATCCACCAAAAATAAGGTGTATAATTATTGGGAACACCATTTGAAGGGTAACGATTTCTTATACAGCACGAAGTTGATATTGCTTCGGCCCTAAATTTGAGTGGTTGTTCTGGTTCTATCAGCATACACCTTACCATATCCACCAGTGCTCTGTTTCGTCTTTCTGCAACTAGAATTGTGGATAAATTCCATGAACTGATTGGTAACATTCTATCTAGTCCAGTAACTGAAGACCTGAAAATATGCAAATCTGTCATTAAGTCGGCCCAGATTTCCTTTGTGGCTCAATTCTTAGGTTGTGACGGTTGCTTTCAAGGACGAAAACTTTTACCAACACTGCTGGGTCGAAAAGGGCTCAAAATGGCCCCTAAAGTCCGAAAAAATGGTTTCCCGCTAATATCTGCCAAAATATACAAATTAGACAATTTTTGTTTTGATAAAAAATAAAGATCGTATCATTATCTACAAAAATGGTCTCTACAATTTTTTTTCGCAAGACGAATATTTTTTTACAAAAACGGCCTTCGAAAAAGCCAGAATTTTTGCACTATATAGAAATGTTAGTTTCTCACTGAATTTCCGCTCGAGGGAGTTGGGAATACATTGATTTTCATGTTTTGGACTTTGGAGACCAATTGTAGATGGCGCCAGCGGCATACCTCTGCTCACTAAATTATGGGGCCTATGAATGGAAATCCGGGCACCAATCGATCTTTCGACAATTATTGGCGGATTCTACGGGATTTTTTCTGTAAAGTAGCGCTTGGGGTATCTCATCTATATTGCTGAATGTTCTGTGTATTTGCGTTGCACAATTTAATAGAAAAATGCAAAATTTTTTTTTTCATGTGGCAGTCTCAAATCCCGGCGCTTTGCCTAATAGTGGGTTACTAGTTTTAGAGTGTGATGAATATTGACCCGAGAAGACCCTTTATATTTTCTGCGTCTTTTGCAAAATTTTTGCCAACTTCTATCGAAACAATATAGGTCCAGGATTTCAGAAAAATAAGAAAGTTTCTGAAAAATTTCTTTTATTATGAAAAACATGTTGAAAATGCGAAACACATAGCAATGCTTATAATTTATCATACGTTAAACCATTCAATGTCATCAGAATCATACTCTTCATCGTCTTGCTCTATTCCTTCCCCTCCTTCACGTGTCCCTTTCCTCTGTTTTTCCAACCCCTGTGTTGCTGTCTCGACAGCTATTTCATCCTTCTCCCCTTCAACCCCTTCTGGGTCTCGATTCATCTCTAATTCTTTCGGGAATTCTTGAAAATTCAAGAATGACATCTAATTTTTCACTTTAAAAACTTCTTTCTTTTTAACAACTTGATTGATAATGATAAAAATACTATCAATAGTTTTCTAAAATACTCTCAATAATACCGACAATAACGACTCCAAAAACAACAGAGATTGTATACCAACAAAAGCAGACGATTAAGGTGGCGCGTGGGTACACGTGGTTAGGTTATGATGGAATATCGTGGATCTCAGGCGGAGAGCGTAAAAATAGGGGAGATAATTCTAACAAAGGGGAGATAATTCTAACAAACAGTTAAGAACAACGCTCACATACGGGGATCAATTGATAGAAATGGAAAGGTGAGAATATCAGCTTCACTTCGGTCTGGGTATTAATGTTCAAAAAATGAACAGCGGGGAACAAGAAGTATTTAAAAAAAAGTCCGGTTTTCCCCGGTGTGATCAATTTTCCCGATTTCTGGAAAATGGAGCAACTTTATTAAAAAAAAAAAAAAATACATTCGAAAAGTAGATACTTCAAGCTTTAAAATGGTGTGCATTGAATAACAATATAATGAAACATGAGTTTTTAATAACTGCTTGTTTCAAAGGTTTATAGAACTCCGAAAGCGTATAAAAAATGCAAATAAACAAATCAATTTTGTTTTAAAACACCAGGAAGATACTGGAAAAAAATTTCTGAGATCATTCAAGATATCTCAAGATCCCATTTATAACAAAAATAGAATAAAAAACTATTAAAAGAAAAAAAATATGAATGAATTACTATAAAGTGGTCCAAAATAGTGAGAAAACGCAACTTTGACCCCTTTTTCAATGTTCTTGACAGGAAATAACGGGCTTCAAGGCACATGGATCGATACCTATGGGTTCTCCCATTGTAATGAACTTTGAATCATCGAAAAATATCAATTTTTGACCGAGTTCTGAAACAATTTGTCCGCCCGTTTACAAGCTAATCAGCATTGCTATAGAGATAAAGCAGGGGCTGAACGAGGGGACTTTTGATTGCGGTTATCTCGAAACCTGTCGAATTCCCGACAAAAATGATAGGGATCATTTTTGTAGATAATGATGAGATCTTTCTTTTTTGTCCGAACAGAAATTCTCTAATTTGCATATTGTGGAAGATATTGGCGGGAAACCAGTTTTAGGGTCCATTTTGGGCCCTTTCCGACGCAGCAGAGTTGGTAAAAGTTTTCGACCTTGGAAGCGACCACCGAGACCTAAGAGTTGAGCCACAACGGAAATCTGGACCGACTTAATGACAGGTTGGTCCCTTCAGTTACTGGACTATTCTGCGTGTCAGGTATAGAAGTAATTGGCCATTTAATGTCTGGAAAATTGAAATCGCCTACTATAACCAGATTTTCAGAACCACTTAGGACATCGAGTTTGTCTAGCAGAGCCGCGTCAGTAGCAACTGGTGTGTCTGGCGGACGGTAAATAGCTGCAAGAGTAATAAGGCAATTGAGATGTTGCAGCTGCAAACAAAGAGAATCAATACGAGGAACTGAGATATCTACAGATGAGATTGTAAAGCAGTCTAAGACATGTTGAGCTACATATGTACATACTCCTCCTCCTTGTCTATCAATTCGATCATATCTTAAAATCTGGTAATTAAGAATAGATATTAATTTGTCTAGAATATTTACATTGAACCACATTTCGGTAATTAAAATAAGGTCCGATTTTTCAGATTAAATAACACAAATAATAAATTCATTGAATTTTTTGGGAAGAGAATCTATATTTGTGTACAATAAGAGCCAATCATTGAAAGTTGAAGATGAACCAGTTAATGCTGAAATTTTTGTACGATCCTTGGAGATCCATTAATGTACTTGATAGTCCAGTCGTCAGTGCCATTTTGATTTTTATTTTCAAATGCAGTTCTAAGTTCTAAGTTTTGTCAGCGGTGATACTAAAATCCTTGGTTAAATTATTTTCCATCAGTTTACGTTTCGAGCGAAGAATAAACTTAGCAACAGACTCGCATTGAAAAGTGACTTTAATCATTTGAGGGTATTTATTGTTAGTTCAGTGAGGTTAAAAGCACTAAATCCTACGCAGGTATACTCAAAGCTTCCTTGGAAATATTTGTAAAATTTCAGGAAATTGATTAGTCAAAATATTGTATTCTTAGCCAGGGTTACCAGATCACAGCGAATATAAAGGCATTGAAGACGCTAATTTACCAGCCCTGCTTAGCCCAGAACCCAAAATCATTTTGTAGTGGTAATAAAAGAATTTCAAGAATGGAGAAACAGCTTATCAGAACAAGATATCGTAGAAAGACCTTTGCGGAAGCTTACCGAGCAAGTACTAAGTCAGATTAAGAACAATATTAGACGAATAGTGAATAAAAATAAGCCCGGACTAGTTATCAATAAAAAAAAATAAATATTAACTTTATGTGTCATAATTTTACGACTAATAATGCATATTTAGAATTAATTTTCAATAAACATTCGAATTCGCGATATATACAAATTTCAGTATATTTTAAATATTAAATAACAAATTATATTGTAGTTAATTGTAATTCAATAACAAGCATACGCTACTCAAATAGTTAAATAATCTAATTAATTACATTCACATGATCACAAATATAAACAAAAATGTGAAAGTTATTTTGAAACATGAACGACAATCGTATCCAGTAAAATCCTAATTTGCCGGAAATAAATTCACACAATCAAATATTCTATAATTTAGATCTCTCTTTACTAAAAACATGTAAATTTATTCCCATAGAATATGATTAGAAATTCACTATAACTGGTTGGTTTCATAATTTATTAGTGTCTCATCTGAAATTTGCACATTTTCCCTTAAATGTTATGTTAAATCAGTGCAAAAACTACAGTACATTCGACTGGTATAAGTAATTAATTGCTTTGCCTGTATAAATGCTAAGAAAAGTTGGTTATTATCATTTTCTAGACCATTTTTAGTTGATTCAATTTCACCTATTTTTGTGTAAATTAACTTTCCTACTCTTCACACTAACATTTTTAAAAGCTGATAAAATGTTACTGCAGATCAATAATTTATTATTACAAATCGAAGAATATGCACCTGTACCAAAAATAACAATTTGTTTTCTGAATTCAGCCTTAAATTTAAATTTAATTTTTGATTTTAGAATTGAAAAAAGCCCCAACGAAAAACCAAACAATGTGATAAATAGCAAACCACTATCAAAATCATCCGACTGGACTGAAGTAGATCTAGAAGTTCCCGAACACGAAGAACCGATTCATTTAACTAATCCAAAACTTAATTTAATATTCAATACCGAAAAAGGCACACCTACCCCTCCTCCAAGGAAACACAAGAAGAATCTTAGAGAAAAAATAGAAGCTGTAGCTAAATCAGGTAAGCAGATATATTTCAGTTTTGGTAAAATACTATCTTTACCTAATACTTGTATTACCTAATAATTGAGAAAGGCGTACCTAAACATGTAAGCCTACATGTTTACAGAATTAATATCGACACTACCACTAATGATCTGGAATCTATTCTCATTAAAAATTTCAATTTATATTTTTAAACTGTGTGTATTCGTTAGTAAAAATTTAAAGAAATTTATCTACAATAATGAATACCACAGTTATCCAACGAGACAAAACCATCTTCTTCATTTGCCGCTAGCTAGAGGGAAAGTAACCTATTGTTCGCCAAATTATATGGGTCCAAGAATGCATAACAAATTACCTCAAGTCATAAAGACATGCAGAAGTCTCAAGCAATTTAAAAGTCATCTTAAAGAATTCCTTCTAGTAACTAATGCTTTTTATACACTCAATGAATTTTTTGCATTATGAAGACAGTATCTTTAATTAATATCTTTAATAATTTTTTTTATTATTTTAGCTTTACATATAGTTTATTTTTATGACTATATTCCAATGCAATTAAAATTGTCTTATGGAAATGTAAATATAAATAAATACCCTGACCAGGACAATCTGTCGGAATTTTGTTTTTCTGTTTTTCTATGTTTTTCTATGTTTTTCTATGTTTTTCTATGTTTTTCTATGTTTTTCTATGTTTTTCTATGTTTTTCTATGTTTTTCTATGTTTTTCTATGTTTTTCTATGTTTTTCTATGTTTTTCTATGTTTTTCTATGTTTTTCTATGTTTTTCTATGTTTTTCTATGTTTTTCTATGTTTTTCTATGTTTTTCTATGTTTTTCTATGTTTTTCTATGTTTTTCTATGTTTTTCTGTTTTTCTGTTTTTCTATGTTTTTCAATGTTTTTCAATGTTTTTCAATGTTTTTCAATGTTTTTCTATGTTTTTCTATGTTTTTCTATGTTTTTCTATGTTTTTCAATGTTTTTCTATGTTTTTCTATGTTTTTCTATGTTTTTCTATGTTTTTCTATGTTTTTCTATGTTTTTCTATGTTTTTCTATGTTTTTCTATGTTTTTCTATGTTTTTCTATGTTTTTCAATGTTTTTCTATGTTTTTCTATGTTTTTCTATGTTTTTCTATGTTTTTCTATGTTTTTCTATGTTTTTCTATGTTTTTCTGTTTTTCTATGTTTTTCTATGTTTTTCTATGTTTTTCTATGTTTTTCTATGTTTTTCTATGTTTTTCTATGTTTTTCTATGTTTTTCTATGTTTTTCTATGTTTTTCTATGTTTTTCTATGTTTTTCTATGTTTTTCTATGTTTTTCTATGTTTTTCTATGTTTTTCTATGTTTTTCTATGTTTTTCTATGTTTTTCTATGTTTTTCTATGTTTTTCTATGTTTTTCTATGTTTTTCTATGTTTTTCTATGTTTTTCTATGTTTTTCTATGTTTTTCTATGTTTTTCTATGTTTTTCTATGTTTTTCTATGTTTTTCTATGTTTTTCTATGTTTTTCTATGTTTTTCAATGTTTTTCAATGTTTTTCAATGTTTTTCAATGTTTTTCTATGTTTTTCTATGTTTTTCTATGTTTTTCTATGTTTTTCTATGTTTTTCTATGTTTTTCTATGTTTTTCTATGTTTTTCTATGTTTTTCTATGTTTTTCTATGTTTTTCTATGTTTTTCTATGTTTTTCTATGTTTTTCTATGTTTTTCTATGTTTTTCTATGTTTTTCTATGTTTTTCTATGTTTTTCTATGTTTTTCTATGTTTTTCTATGTTTTTCTATGTTTTTCTATGTTTTTCTATGTTTTTCTATGTTTTTGTAATAATTGGCATTATTATTAATTGAAAAATCTAAAGAATTTACCAAAAATTCTAAACAAGTATTTAATGTTTAAATTAAATAATTGTAAATGTAACAACCAGTTAGCCTAAAGGCCAACGCTCGTCACCAAATGTAACAACCAATTAACCTAAAGACCATTTGCAACTACTGATAGGTCTTTAGCTACTGTTACTATACTATTAAGGGATAAAGGCAGCGCCTGTCACCAGCCAAAGGGTCCTGGAGTCCTTAAGGAACATCCATTCGCCAGTGGCAAAATAAAATAATAAAAGAAAATAATAAAATTACAAAAAAAACATCCCTTAATAGCATATGTCGAGCGGTTCTTGGCAACTAGTTTTAGACTCTTTTAGTCCTAAGGGAATAGAAACGCCGAGGCTTCTCAAATGCTCGGAGTATTTTGCTGGTTTGGGAAAGGAGGAGAGATTAATAATAAGTATTAAAACATTAACAAATGTATATTAACAATAAATAAAAAACTTGACAAATAGTCTTCAGAAAAAATGAATAAAATTCCATTTAGAGAATAATGCACTATAACTAATAGTAATAAAGATAAGCATAAAATATAATTCGGGACGAAAATGTAAAATTGGCATTTATATGTAAATCAATTAATCAATTATTATTAAACAAAATTAAGTTAAAATATTTACCCATAATTCACATCGTACACAAAAAAACTTTACACATTACTTTACAATAAAAAAACCAGGGTTTCGCCCGAGGGGCGAAAGTTCTGGACCTTAGTCCGAACCCGACTTAGGCAGAACTGGTTGTTACATTTGGTGACAAGCGGTGTTTTTTGATAGTATTTGACTGGTTGGAAGGAAAAGGGAAAATTTGTTATTAAAGATAAGGATAAGGAGATATATCATTTTTTACAGACATTTTTTTTAAATTTTGTAATTTTTTTAGAGAGGACAAGTGCCTTTTAATAAACTAAATTGAGTAGATACAGAAATCAAGTGATAAATGCAAATTTCATTTTATTAAATAAATTAGCGAACCTGAATTGATAAAAAACAAAGATAAATAAATAGATGATAATTTAATATAATGTTTTAACTAAGTAGTTGTTTAAACAAAACATTGACATTGAAAATAATTGTAACAATAAACATTAGGGTCAAGTCGAAAATAGTATACAATTTTATTTACAATATTATATTTCTTTGTGTACAAAAAGTCATCATTTCAATAAAGAGAAAATTATTCAAAAGGAGAATTTTAATTTATTTTAAAATAACTATGATGTTAAATAAGAATTGCGAAGGGAAAATATTTAAATAGGTTGATGATGTATAAATATATCTAGTTTAGATGATAAAGAATTTAAAGGTAAATATTGTCACTGTTTACATAAAAAATTGACATTGAACTATAATGAACTATAAATATGATATTACATTTTCGCAAAGTATTTATTTCAATGTGCATTGCTATCAGTTGTCGTAGGTCAGTTATATAGGTAAAGTTAGTTCAGCGACGTACAGCGTTAATGAAAAATTGGCATTTTTAAATAATTTTTTTTTCAGAAGTATATGGGATTTTAAGGTTTAAATTTTGTGAATTAAAAATAATAATATAGATATACAGTGTTTTAGATTAAAGATGTTTACCAGGCCATCAGCAATAGAGTTTGAGGAGGAAGAGGACGTGTTGTATACGCACGAAAAAGAAGAAAAGGCGTACAAGTGCGAGATGTGCGAATGAGCACATCTTAAGATGATTTAAAGAGGTTTGGACTGCCCAAAAGAGGCAGAGCAAAAATTGATATGTAAAGTGAATATGTAGTAATATGTGAATATTGTGTTATAGATATTCGACGAGGAATTCAAAAAACAGGAAGAAAAGAAAAAAGTTTGGGGACATTCGATCGAGGTACAATTCCGATCAACCCCCAAGCAGTGTCCACGACAGGACAAAAACTAGAGGAGAGGTTGTCACGTCACGGTGTAAAGGGATAAGCTCTAAGGACCTTTTCCCTAGACTGTGATGGTGAAAAATTCAGGTAAATAGATTGGAGGGAGTTTGGGGTCACATGGATCGACGTAGTTTCCGACCAGCCCTAAACAACGCCCTTTGATACCAGGACAAGATGTACACGAGGGAAAAATAGGATTCAGACCGCTCTATCAGGGAGCAATGCCGTATATTAGAAGAAGCCTCTCTATCAGGGAGCAATGCCGTATATTAGAAGAAGCCTCTCTATCAGGGAGCAACGCCGTATATTAGAAGAAGCCTCTCTGTCAGGGAGCAACGCCATACATTAGGAGAACGCCGCTCTATCAAGGAGCAATGCCGTATATTAGGAGCCATTCCGCTCTACCAAGAAGCAACGCCGCTTTGCCAGGAAGCAACGCCGCTTTGCCAGGAAGCAACGCCGATTTGCCAGGAAGCAACGCCGATTTGCCAGGAAGCAACGCCGCTTTGCCAGGGAGCAACGCCGCTTTGCAAGGCAGCAACGCCAATTTTATAGGAGAATGCCGCTCTACCAGGGAGCAACGCCAAGTAGTTAGGAGAACGCCGCTCTACCAGGGAGCAATAACGATTTTTTAGGAGCCAGACCGCTCTACCAAGAAGCAACGCCGCCCTACCAGAGAGCTACGCCGCTATGCCAGGCGCCACGACGCGCCACCAGATGAGAAAATTGCAGAAAATTGCGATAGAAACAGGAAAGTTTCAAAGTATGGAGATGCAGAATTTCAAGCGAAATCGAGAGAAGAGTAAGAAGAAAAGAAAACATATATATCAACAGGTGGTAAAAATATATATGAAGTAAATAGGTAAAGTAAAGTAAAAATTATTTTAAAATGGTATTTTATTGGAATTAGTAGAATTAATGACATAAGAATTATTTTAGAAAGGTATTTTATTGGGTTTTATTAGGTGTAGACAACTATTTAATCTACGCTTATGTGCATTTAACATATGTATGTTTTATTCTTAGAGATATATGTTGTTTATTTTTAATGGCCAGGAAATAAATAATAGTATTGTTTCTGTAATAAAACATACTAGCTTTGATTGTTGATTCGTTTCGAAAACAAAAATGGGGAGAAATACAAATTTATAAAATCTTAGTGGGATTAATTTTGAAATTTGATATAAAATAAGAACTGCATAAATTTGTAAGTCTCAGAGAATTAGAAAATGATACCTACTCAAAAAAAATATATTCTAGTTACAATGTTTTGAAATTCAATATTCATAGTAAATATAAATAATTGCGAGATAGAGATTTAAAAATAAATAACGTTTTCTAGTTCATTATTAAAAAATAATTTTGGTATATTATAAAACATATTTGTTTTCGTAACTGTAAATGTGCTTTTGGGGTAATTAAGGAAATTTGTATAAAAGATTTGTTTTTTTGCTGGAAAACCTGAAATGTAAATAATAATTTTGTCATAGGGGTAATCAAAAGACGTTGCCACTGCACAAGAAGAAGAAAAAGAAAAAAGAAGGAAAAGAAGAAAGAAGAAGAGGTCAACACCGTACTACCTTTGCCAGAGTCACCATCAGCACCGTTTCCAGGACGATCACGAAGTCCAAATCGTGATAGTTATCAAAATCCAGGACCGTACCAAGGGACCCCAGAGTTCCACGATTCCACGATCCACGGCAGAGAATTGGCCGAATTCCAGGACTCCAGAATCCAAGGCTACAAAGAGACTGTTCCATCCAAATCCGCCAACCAGTACCACCAAGCTCTCAGAGGGCATGAGTTATACCGCCAAGGGAGCTTGACATGATGTTGGGTCCATTTTGAGTCTGTGGGAGCCAAATCCACAGCAGGAAGAAAATGGAGTCAAATGCGGAAAAAGGGACCAAAGAATTCATATGGAATGGACTAAGGTTCAATGAAAGAGGCCATTCCCAGTAATGAGTCAATAGGGACCTACCAGTAGCAGCCGTGTACAGCAGCCATGTACCGTAGCAGTCTCACAGTAGCAAGCCAGGGAAGCAGTCCAAAGTCAGAGTCTATTGGAAAATTGATAGACTACCGCAGCAGAAAGAACCTGTAACCTCAGCCAAAAGGGTTACCAGGTTTAGCAGCCCAAGGACCAAACCAGATCGGGAAGGGACCATTCCAGGAAGGTCAAGGATCAGGGGATGTGAGAGGTGACAGCCAGAGAGCAAAGGGTAGTTACGGCCAGTCAATTAAGAAGACCAAAGAAGACACAACTTGTGCAGTGAAGCAAGCGTGAGGTTATCATATTATTGTAGAGTGTTTTAAAAATTTTTGTAAATTATTTACATTAAGGGTTTTAAAAAGAATTGAACAAGTAGTCCAATTTTTTTTCTGTCGGGGGAATAATGTAATAATTGGCATTATTATTAATTGAAAAATCTAAAGAATTTACCAAAAATTCTAAACAAGTATTTAATGTTTAAATTAAATAATTAAAAAGACACTTATGACAATGAAACAAACCTTCATTTTATTAATTTACATTGAACGTGACATTGTAAAATACAATCAACAGTCACATAAATTTTGGTTTATATAGAAAGGATCACTTGGGGGAAAGGCTCAGTCGGGTTCGGACTAAGGTCCAGAACTTTCGCCCCTCGGGCGAAACCCTGGTTTTTTATTGTAAAGTAATGTGTAAAGTTTTTTGTGTACGATGTGAATTATGGGTAAATATTTTAACTTAATTTTGTTTAATAATAATTGATTAATTGATTTACATATAAATGCCAATTTTACATTTTCGTCCCGAATTATATTTTATGCTTATCTTTATTACTATTAGTTATAGTGCATTATTCTCTAAATGGAATTTTATTCATTTTTTCTGAAGACTATTTGTCAAGTTTTTTATTTATTGTTAATATACATTTGTTAATGTTTTAATACTTATTATTAATCTCTCCTCCTTTCCCAAACCAGCAAAATACTCCGAGCATTTGAGAAGCCTCGGCGTTTCTATTCCCTTAGGACTAAAAGAGTCTAAAACTAGTTGCCAAGAACCGCTCGACATATGCTATTAAGGGATGTTTTTTTTGTAATTTTATTATTTTCTTTTATTATTTTATTTTGCCACTGGCGAATGGATGTTCCTTAAGGACTCCAGGACCCTTTGGCTGGTGACAGGCGCTGCCTTTATCCCTTAATAGTATAGTAACAGTAGCTAAAGACCTATCAGTAGTTGCAATTGGTCATTAGGCTAACTGGTTGTTACATTTTTCTATGTTTTTCAATGTTTTTCAATGTTTTTCAATGTTTTTCAATGTTTTTCTATGTTTTTCTATGTTTTTCTATGTTTTTCTATGTTTTTCTATGTTTTTCTATGTTTTTCTATGTTTTTCTATGTTTTTCTATGTTTTTCTATGTTTTTCTATGTTTTTCTATGTTTTTCTATGTTTTTCTATGTTTTTCTATGTTTTTCTATGTTTTTCTATGTTTTTCTATGTTTTTCTATGTTTTTCTATGTTTTTCTATGTTTTTCTATGTTTTTCTATGTTTTTCTATGTTTTTCTATGTTTTTCTATGTTTTTCTATGTTTTTCTATGTTTTTCTATGTTTTTCTATGTTTTTCTATGTTTTTCTATGTTTTTCTATGTTTTTCTATGTTTTTCTATGTTTTTCTATGTTTTTCTATGTTTTTCTATGTTTTTCTATGTTTTTCTATGTTTTTCTATGTTTTTCTATGTTTTTCTATGTTTTTCTATGTTTTTCTATGTTTTTCTATGTTTTTCTATGTTTTTCTATGTTTTTCTATGTTTTTCTATGTTTTTCTATGTTTTTCTATGTTTTTCTATGTTTTTCTATGTTTTTCTATGTTTTTCTATGTTTTTCTATGTTTTTCTATGTTTTTCTATGTTTTTCTATGTTTTTCTATGTTTTTCTATGTTTTTCTATGTTTTTCTATGTTTTTCTATGTTTTTCTATGTTTTTCTATGTTTTTCTATGTTTTTCTATGTTTTTCTATGTTTTTCTATGTTTTTCTATGTTTTTCTATGTTTTTCTATGTTTTTCTATGTTTTTCTATGTTTTTCTATGTTTTTCTATGTTTTTCTATGTTTTTCTATGTTTTTCTATGTTTTTCTATGTTTTTCTATGTTTTTCTATGTTTTTCTATGTTTTTCTATGTTTTTCTATGTTTTTCTATGTTTTTCTATGTTTTTCTATGTTTTTCTATGTTTTTCTATGTTTTTCTATGTTTTTCTATGTTTTTCTATGTTTTTCTATGTTTTTCTATGTTTTTCTATGTTTTTCTATGTTTTTCTATGTTTTTCTATGTTTTTCTATGTTTTTCTATGTTTTTCTATGTTTTTCTATGTTTTTCTATGTTTTTCTATGTTTTTCTATGTTTTTCTATGTTTTTCTATGTTTTTCTATGTTTTTCTATGTTTTTCTATGTTTTTCTATGTTTTTCTATGTTTTTCTATGTTTTTCTATGTTTTTCTATGTTTTTCTATGTTTTTCTATGTTTTTCTATGTTTTTCTATGTTTTTCTATGTTTTTCTATGTTTTTCTATGTTTTTCCATGTTTTTCTATAAAGCAGACATTAATTCTTACTGGTAAATTTTCTACTCAAATTTTCATTAAAGACCGCCTTTTAAAATTATTTTTTTTTTAAATTTGTATAAAGTAACTCACTTTCTTTTTGTTTTTCTTTGAAAAAAAAAAAAAAAGAAAAAAATTATATTATATTGTATTTTTAGGTTTACAAGCTTTTCAATCTAAAAAGCCAGTCGAAGATACTCAACCTAAAAAACCAGTGGAAGAAGAATTATGTGTTAAGAAAACCATAAGCTACAAATGCCCTATTTGCGATCAAGATGAGGCTACGCATAACAGAGATCACCATCATCATCTACATAATCATCAACATTTGGAAAAGAAGAGTGAAAATGATAAGATTGATAAATTAGACAATCTTAGAACGGACAAAGAGAATTTGAAGAGGAAGAAAACATTATCTGTGACTTCGCTGCCTAATTATGATGAATTGAAATTTACTGTTGCCGAATTTGATGAAAACGACAAAGGTATATTTTTTTATATAATAAATATTTTAGATAATGCATCTGCAACTTGATGATATTAGGTGTACCATCGAAAATGTTATGCAAAGAACTATAATAAAAGATCTTATTTGTTTCTACTTAACTAGAATTGCTATTGGAATAAATTGGACGTTTAAATATAATTTTTATTATCTTACATCGTTTTCCAGGAATTAATAATGATCACAGAAAAATCTTCCTTCTTTTATTTAGCTGTTTGTCACATTTTACTTGTTATGTACTATTTAAAATGAATTCATCTGCCAATTTGAGTTATTAGATCAAATAAATAAATAAATAAATAAATAAATATGTTTCGGAAAATTCGTATTACGATTATAAGTTCAGAAATATTCATCATTAACTTTATATAGAAAGGATGGAGTTTTCTGAAAAGTTTGAAGATTTAAAAGGGGCGAATATTTTCAGGAAAGATATAATAATTTTCCAATTATGTTGATGTTGACAACTACTGTGGCTTAATCGAAGATTTAGTCATGTATTGTTGAAACGTAACAGAAATGTGGACACTTATGTTTAAAGTATGATCCCCAATTTGCTCTGAAATACTTTTAAAGAAAGTTTTAGTTTTCCAAACATTGATGACTTAAAAATCAGATAAAAATGATAATAAATATGTATCGTGCAATTTTTAATCAACGAGAAATACTTTAAACCAATTATTACATTCTGTAGATATCTACATAACAAAAATAGTCACGAGTTTAAAAATCAAAATTGCATTGTCTGATAATATAAATATTTTCTTTTCAAGTATTAATAATTGTAATAAATAATGAAAATTTAAGAATTGCTTTTTTCCATGATATTATAATAATATGTAAAACAGCAAAAAGTTAAGTAAGGACAATTTAATGGCTCTTACGAAACTGCATCCTAAAAAAGGGTTTTCTACCTAATTCGAAAAAGGACATAACAGTTAAATTTTTTAGAAAATATTTTTTAGCCAATAAAGTTTTTAAAAATATTTTTTTTTAGTAACTTCTTTTATTTTATTAATTAATCTAGGTATTTTGTAAATTGACTAATGGGCAATAATTCAGCAACAAATACATATTTAAATGTTTATTAAAACTGTAAAATATAATTAAAACTTACGAAGTTATTTTAATAAAGTCTAATTTATGTTGATTTAAATTACTCAGCAAGTCTTCGAGAAATATTCTTCTTAAATTTCGAGTGTCAAGTTTTTTTTGGGATTAGAACACTATTAATTTTTATATATGTCTGTATTTACCAGATAACATTACCACACTTTTTGAAGAATTATTATTAAGTTGATGAATATTTGAAAGTCTAACTAGTCTGTTAAGATCTTCATTAATATGTTTACTTACTTCTAAAGCATTATCATGATCAAAAGAAAATTTAATTTGAGTATCATCTGCATAACAGAATGGCTTACTATTCTTAAGGCTATTCCCAAAGTTGGAGATAAATAGTGAAAATAATAAAGGCCCAAGTATTGATCCCTGAGGAACTCAACAGGAAATCTTTTTAGTATTTGATGAACCTGCATCAGTAACTACAAATTGCTTCCTGTTATCAGGGTAGCTATTAAATAGTCTAATAACAGCATTAGAGCAACGAATAAAATGTAATATTGAGAGTAAAATTGTATGATTAATAGTATGAAATGCTTTGGAATAATCGAGCATAGCAAGTGCTGCTGTTTTTTTAGCATGTAGTACAACTAACTATAGTCATAACGAAAACCTGACTGTCGCAGTATTTAATTGAAATTTCATGATTTTTGCAATTACTTTGAATAATTGTTTGGTTTGGTTCTTTAATACGTGTTGACGAACCTAAAAAATGATTATTAAATTCATCTGGATTATTAAGGTTAACAGGAATCTAATTATTGGAATTTCCCAGGTATATTAAATTCTTTAATTTTATTCGAAAAAAATGTATTATTACCTTTCAACTTATTTAGATAAGCCCTTTTCTCATTTCTTATAGCGGTAGTTGTACATTTTTTTAAGTTTTTATAATAATCCCAATGCTGCGGGTTTTTAATACATTTAAATTTGTTAAATGCTTTATCTCTAAGCTTAATCATCAATTTAACATCATCCGTTAACCAAGGTGGGTTAGGTTTTTTAAATTTAATAAAATGAACTGAAATATTTAATAAAGTGCTATTAAGAAATTCATCCTTATCATTAATGTTATCAAAAGTAACAATATTTTCAAAAGGGGTAAATAGCAGCATTTTCTTTTAAATATCACGATTTATGTTTGTTAAATTTCTCGACTGAAATTCTTTGGGAGGATCAACTGTAACTGATAGGTTTAGTGAACAATATGTTAATTTATGATCCGAAATATTAAATACTTCCTTTACACCACTTTCAACAGTATCAAACTGGCTAGATATGACACATCCAATAGAGTAGAACTATTTTTGGTGACCCTCGTCGGCTCAATAATAATTTGTTTGAGATTAAATACTTTTATGGTAGTAATGATTTTTTTTGAATTTGTTGAATTGCTATCGAGTAGATCATATGTCACCACCGCATATTATGTCATTACATGAAGCTATTAATAATGAAAAATTTTCTTCTAGATTCGCAAAAAACTGTTGGTTGTTTTTCTTCGGTAGCTTGTAAAACAGATCGAAAATATATAAACAATGATTCATTTTAATTTGAATCCATAGCTGTTCCACACATTCATGTTTCTTTACCGTCAGTAACTGATAATTAATCGTACATTTTATGCAAAATCCTACCCCGCCTCCTCTATTTCCTCTATCTTTTCTAATAAAATTGTAACCATCAATATTTACAGCAATAATACTCGAGATGTTGTTAGTCAGCCATGTCTTACTTATTCCAATAAGATTTAAATTATTCTGCAAAATGAATGTTTTGTAATGTGCAAAAGATAGATTCATCACACACAACGAAGTAGCTAAAAAAACAAATACAGCTTATTTATCAATAACTAATAAAGAAAAGAAAAAATGAAAATATATTATGTGGTTCTTTGCAAAAAATAAGAATATGAATAACGTTATCTTTAGTAATTAGATAATTAGTATATAATTCTGGAAAGAAAAGAGAAATTTGTTAAAAAGAGAAAAGTAAATGGCTTAAGAAAATGTTAACCTCTAGTCTATATCTTTAGAACTTGTGATACTTTTCATCTACCAAGGCAAACATTCTTTCATTGGAACCCCAAACATGTTGGCGATCATATTTACAAACTGCAGATTTGATCAAAATTACATTTAACTTAGTAAAATCTTCTTTAATTGTAAAACCACTATTATTCCTGAGAAGTTTTTGTTAGAAAAAACATTTTTCATCTTGTTAAACACAAATCGACCTAAAACAGACCTGGGATTTAGGTTGTGCTTACTATATTTACCAATGCGATGAAATTTGTTGATATCAGATGCAGAAACACATGTTAATTTTAATTCTGAAAAATATTTTTTTCGAGTTGATAAGATTTTTCTCCTTTAACTTCTTTTCTTCGACACCGTAATAAATTATTTAATTTAAATCTTTGTTCATAATATTCCAAATTATTTTTCAGGTTATTTATTTCCTCCGAGTTTTGTGAGACATTTTCTTTTATGGAATTTGATAAAATACCGGTGTTACTTCCGAATATTTCTTTGGTAAAAATGTTCTGTAGCATATGTCGCTGGTGTTAGAAGAATTGGGTTCTTTTGTAGAAATAACTAACGAGTCATAGGTAGTAGAAAAAGAAGTGTTTTTAATTCACTATTTTCACTGAAGTAAATACATAGTGGTTGATTCCATTTAGATATAATAATTTTCTTATCTTCACTAAACACTTTTAAAAATTTAAAATTTTAGTTCATCACAATTTGATTAACTAATACAGTTGATTTTTTACTTACCAACTTGAAAACATTTGTTTGTAGAATTTCTTATGCCATAATAATTGTAGAATATATAACTTTCATCAGAAAATAAAATGCATTAAACGCTTGTAAAAATGTAGAAAATAACGTGCCGTCGGCAGAAAGCACTTGAACGTTCGGATGGCAAGACAACTGTGAGCGATGATGGCAAAAAGACAACTGAACTCGTTTGTGGCACTAAGACAACTGAACTCGTCACGTCGAGCTCACCCTAATATATACTGTTGGGACGAAATGAGTGTCCGGGACATAGTTGACGCACCTATTCGATTTCAACCAATGAAAACATCATGACATAATGAAATACGTCATTTGTGCTTCGTTAACTATGCGCCGGACACTCATTTTGTTCCAATGCACCGCTGTGCACTTGAAAACACAGGTGTTCGACGTTCGGTATTCTGAGAAAAATGCTATTTATAGTTTTATGACTTCACATTATATTAGGGTAAAAAGCAGTCGAACTATTTGAGAATTGTTTATTTATTTAGTAGATGTAAAATATTAATTTGTTGATGTTTTTACTGGTGAAATTGTAGAATTTAACCATACTGGCGCGCGCCACACAAAGGAAAACAACATTAAATGATGATAAATTAAAATGAATAACAATGATAAAAATATCTTGGAAAAAACTCGAAGGACCAGCCAGTGTTATCGCACTGACACGATGTATGAATAACAAAGTTGAATTTCTCAGGTGTTTGTTGCGCAAGCCACGCATGATTTCAAACATATGACAGATTCATAAAACGAAAACCAAGTTGATAAATAATAAGTCAGAAAAAATAAAGGAAAAATGGCGTAAGGTTATTGACCAGGTCACTCGCGAATCTATCCCAGATCAAGATCCTAGCGTTTCCTTTCGTGGAGCATTTGGATTCGACCTAATCCAACTGCGTATTTAACAACCTTATGCGAAAGTAGGTACCTAAACTTAAAATCTAAAGCTCTGTGTTGGGCACAAGGGACAATTTAACAATTGGTCTCACGTAGACTCCATCTTGTGTTTTGATGCGCACTGAGCGTGATTTGCCATCCTTTCCAGGGATCAACGCCGATATCCTTGCCAAAGGCCACTTTAATGGAGGGGTGTCATCTTCCCTTAACAATACTAAATCATTGATTTTGAATTCAGGTGTAGGCTCCATCCACTGTTGTAACTTTGAGCATTGTTGCCAAAATTTAAGGCGATTGGAAGGAATCTCGGCGAGATTTTTTTCTGGAAAGGACATCAAGGGCGCGCCTATAAGAAAATGTCCTGGTGTAAGTGAGTTGAGATCTGAAGGATCGTTTGATAAGGGGCAAAGCGGCCTACTATTCAAGATGGCTTCTATCTGTGAGAACACAGTTGATAGTTGTTCAAAGGTGAAAATAGAGTTTCCCATGAGCCTAACAAGGTGGTATTTTGCACTTTTTATTGTAGATTCCCACAATCCACCCCAATGTGGTGAATGTGGAGGAATGAATTTCCACTCTGATTCAGTGGCAAGAAGGTAAGACTGGATTGACTTCATATTATCGTCATTAACTAGAAATTGATGAAGATCTCTGAGCTGATTTTTGGCTCCTTGAAAATTTGTGGCATTGTCACTGTAAATGAGTGTTGGGCACCCTCGACGGGCAATTAGGCGTTTTAACGCTGCTAAAAAGGCTTCGGTGGTAAGGTCAGAAACTAGCTCTAAATGAACAGCCTTTGTGACCATGCATACAAATAGCGAAAGGTAACATTTTTGAATGGGGGCCTTTTTTAAAGTAGAAGACTTAATGAGGAAAGGTCCTCCGAAGTCGACGCCCACCCTTTGAAATGGTCGAGCCTGAGTAATACGATAAGAGGGGAGATCTGCCATGATTTGAAAATGTTTCTGAGCATGAAATTTATGACAAGTTGTGCATTTGGAAATAATTCGTTTTATTTCTCGCAAGCCATCTAGTGGCCAGTAACGCAATCTAACATTTGAAAGAACATTTTGAGGGCTACTGTGACCCAAACGGATGTGGTTTGATTTAAGAATTAGAGATGTGATCTTGCATTTACTTGGCAATAGGATAGGGTGCTTGTGGTCATAAGGTAAGTCAGAGTACTTAAGCCTTCCTCCTACTCGAATTAAATTTTGATTGTCTATAAAAGGGTTTAATGATCGTATTTGTTTATTTGCTAAATGCTTTTGATTTTGTAAACCAGTAATTTCTGTACTAAAATAACTGGATTGAATTTTAGATAAAATGAATTTTAACGAATTATCAATTTCACTAGTATTAAGGGCTCCTGTCATTTTTTCACCTGGGTGGCGTACATTGTGCAAAAAACGAAACAAATATGCGAAAGATCGGTCAAGTTTGGAAAAAGAATTGAACGTATCGAAGGTGGTGACCCAGGGGTCAGGGGTGACGCGTACAGTTTGAAGAACTGTCTTTTTTGATTCCGGGAGAGCTGTAACTAATTTAAAAGTATCAAGTTGATCAAAATTGGTGTGATTTTCTTTAAGAAATTGTGGCCCACTGAACCAGAACTCAAGCTTGTCTTTTTGAAAATGTCCTAGAGACAGCAAATCTGCAGGATTTTTTTCGGATCTTACATGCCTCCAATGAAAATCGTTGGTAAGTTCTTGGATTTGGGATACACGGTTGCTGACGAAAACTGACCATCGAGAAGGATGTCCCCTTACCCAAGACAGAGCAATGTGTGAATCTGTCCACAAATTGACAGAGTTAAAATGAATCTTTGTTTTCAAATTTTGAATGATTCGAGATACCAATCTGGACAACAACACCATTGACGACAGTTCTAATTTTGGGATGGTAAGTATTTTACTAATGGGTGCTACCCTTGATTTTGACGTGAGCAATGAACAATGGATCGAATTATCCGAAATTTGAAAACAAAGATTCATTTTAACTCTGTCAATTTGTGGACAGATTTAAAGACTCTTCAAATTTAGAAAAGCAGTCATTCAAACTGTTTCTGTTCATGCCTGTTTGCTGTTTACAAACTTTCACAATTAATTCTTCCCATTCTTGTTGTTGTTGTCTAGTTTTCGACATTTTTTAACAGTGTAGACATTTGTCGATTTGTTAAAATATGGAGAATAGTTAAATTCAACTGTCTATCAAAACGTATTATAGGTATTCTACTCACAAAAAAAAGATAAATCTTATTCCAAGATGTAGTTTGTCTTAAACAACAACAAACAACATTTTCATATGCCGCCAATTTACGTAGACAGTTGGTGGCATAGGAAAGCTTTTTTATTACTTATTTTAGGAAAAAAAGGTTGTTCTTTATAAAAACAAACCTCGTATACCACTGAAAAAATTTGATATTTGATGATTGTGTTCTAGATTTTAGATAATGGAGAACTTTTTATGAAGAATAACGTTTTTTCCTAAAATTAATAATAAAAAAAAGATTTCAATATGATTCCAACCTAGGGAGACATACTGTATGCACTATGCGTGGTTATATTAGGCAGTGTTACTTATTTAATAATTATTTTTTCGTAATTACTACCTCAGAACTATATAGATGATAAACAAATATTTTAACTTTTTTCTAAAAACAGTAATAAGTTTTTACAAATGAAAGGCAGCATGCTATTATTACCTATTAATATTTTAATTTGAATATTTCTAATATTTTATCATATTCATAAATGCCGCCTCTAAGATTTGTCGCTCCGGACAAATGTTCCGGCCTTAGAACGGGCCCTTCCCCATTACTTATATAATTTTTACATTACAAACTTAATTTGTTACATATTATGTAATATGGAGGCATTCAGGAAAATGTTATTTAGTGCATTTTTCCTTAAGAGGAATTTAAGATTGACGTTTAGGTTGTGTATTGCCGAATTTTGTATAAAATTATTTCTATGATATACCTGTATTAGTTGCATATTTTCTCTATAAATATTTTGTTTCTTGTAGTTCTTGGGTTTTTACGTGTTAAAAATGAAACTCGTGTATGTTGCTAAAGCTTTTGGCACTGATCAGTGCCATCTTCAGTAGTTTTTTATTGGTAAAATATTGTTTTGGCTTTAAAACCTTGTTTTTTTTTTAAATTATAAATATTAATAAAAGATATGAGAAGAAGCTATATAGAAATAAGGCACTGCTTGAAAGGGACACTTGTAGGTAAAAATGAGTACCTATAATTCGTCCAGCTTCCTTAAATTCGCGGCCATATTTATCTCTTTCTTCTGTACTAAGTGAATGGCACTATAAAGCTACACCTTTTAATTAGCAACTTTAGCCCTTTAAATAATTTGATATTTTTTGGCTAGGAAAATACTCTCTTCGAAATAATATTCTATCTGTTTTAGTGTGATTTCAAACAGTAACTTTATTGGAATATTATTTACTAATTGCTTCTATCTTTTCAGGTCTTCCCTCTCTAAAACACGAACTGAAATCGCCTTCATCACAAATATCATTACCAATCGACGCCAAAAAATCCACAGGTTCGTCGGGAAAATTAGACACATACATAACAAGATGTCGTAGCTTTGGATCACTTTTTCCTCAGCAGCTGAAAAAGTTACGACCCAGAAAAGCACCAGCGGATATTGAAAGCGATGATTCATTTGGAGGATTAGAAGATTGGGATTTAGGTCTGATTGAACATTATAATCCAAAAGATGCAAGCTTGCCGAGACCAAGGAAACCCAAAAGAAGCGATGATAGTATACTAGCGGATCTAGAAAGTATGATCGTTAAAGAGGAAGACATTGAACAGCCTAAACCTCCTGTTCGTCGATCAGAATCTCTTGTTAAGAAACTGAACCGGGAAGCAGCTCAAACTGCGTATAACAGATCAAACGAATTACTTAATAATATAAAGAAAGTTGACACTTCATCTTCTTTATCAAAACCGGTAGAGACAAAACCTTTTTCTCAGTTTCCAACAGAAGAAGATGGTCAAGTCGAACACTCGAGTTTGATGAAAATTTTGGAAAAATTTAGTATGGCAGACAAACAAAATCACAAAAATGATAATAATTTAAATAGTAATGAATCTTCACTAACACCTTCGTTGGTTGAATTCGAAAAAAATATAGTGATAAATTGCGTAGATGATGCTGAAAAAATTAATAAAAACAAAGATGTGAATATCACAGAGAAAAATGTTAATTCAGTTAAGACTTAATTATTTATTTTGTCTTCTTAGGTGGTTTTAATAATATAACTAGCTTAATAATTTAATGAATTAATTTTGATATGTAAATATATATAAATGAGCTATTGTTTGCATGATAATTAACTTTTTTGTTACTATTATGTTTATTATATTTTTGTACATATAAATATTTAAGAATTATTACGAAATAATGTGTAATATAAAATTATATAATTTAATGATACATTGATGTTTTTTGTTTCTAATTAAATTGTTTTTATACAATGCAGTGCAAAAAGAGTTTATAGATGTTATGGAGTGTTAAATACAGGGCATTCTCTGGATAAAAAGTGGAGGGTGGGGGGATCAGTTTCTGATGAAAAATTTTTTTAATTAAAAAGTATTCAAAAACTTTTTAATTAAAATTAAAAATTTAACTTAAACATAGAGAGATCCGAGACGTCTTTGGTCATAATTTTTTTATGCACTCCTAGGCCGCTATTTCAGTGTCAAAACAGGATGGATTTTAGTGAAACTTTGGCAACTTAAAGTAAAATGTTTAAATATTTTCAATTGTTCTGCTAATTATTAAATAAGTACTAATAAAACATATAAAAAACTTACAGCATTCTACATATTTTTTTGAATATTCTTGCCAAATTTTAATAATCAATTTTGCATATTTTTTAAACTGTGCACAAATTAAGATTTTATGCAAAATTGATAATTTTGCTTCGTCCATATTGAATTTTAGTTCAGGACCTAAGTTATAGGTGTCTGATGGAGAAAAAAAATACGGGTTGCACTCCGGGAGTGCCGGCAGAAGTGAAAACTTGAATATTAACGTTGTGCATTTTTGATTTTTTGGAATAGTTAGGGAATAATTTTGAACGAATGCCTTTTATTATTCCAATTTATTCCAATTTATTCCAATTTATTCCAATTTATTCCAATTTATTCCAATTTATTCCAATTTATTCCAATTTATTCCAATTTATTCCAATTTTATTCCAATTTATTCCAATTTATTCCAATTTATTCCAATTTATTCCAATTTATTCCAATTTATTCCAATTTATTCCAATTTATTCCAATTTATTCCAATTTATTCCAATTTATTCCAATTTATTCCAATTTATTCCAATTTATTCCAATTTATTCCAATTTATTCCAATTTATTCCAATTTATTCCAATTTATTCCAATTTATTCCAATTTATTCCAATTTATTCCAATTTATTCCAATTTATTCCAATTTATTCCAATTTATTCCAATTTATTCCAATTTATTCCAATTTATTCCAATTTATTCCAATTTATTCCAATTTATTCCAATTTATTCCAATTTATTCCAATTTATTCCAATTTATTCCAATTTATTCCAATTTATTCCAATTGTCTCAAATTTAGAGGAAAATAATTCGTCGAAGAAATCCGAAAACTGTAATTCCATTTTGATAAATTTTATAGGAGAGAAAAAAAACATTTTTTTTCACTAATTACGCCGATTCTTGTCAAATTTGGAAAATAGGCACTATTTCGGTTAACTACTCATGTCTAAAACTCTACGAGTCTTTTTTAGGTGTTTTAAATAATTTAATGGATAAAAATTTATTTTGGAGTTACCCAAATTGCTGTAAGTTTTGTAGGCGAATGCCGTGAGTTTTTAGAAATGGAATTAAATAACAAAATGGTAATATTTAAAAATTAAATATTTACTAAATCAAAAGTGAATGTTGGATTAAGACGTGTGTTCTGCAATATTGGACATAGTCAGCAGGAACGTTGATATCTCGACGTTCTATGACTGAATGCATAGAATAAGCCTCCATTTGTGTATGTCCTTTGTGGAGAAATTTTTGTATAATCACCAAGGTGATTTTTTTTGACTATTTTTTTTTTCGCTCCCGTCTTGAAATTTTGTTGAAAATGTCCCAAAAAAAATCCCTGAAAGTTTAAGCCCTTAATATTAAGGGCTCACAGCTGGGTCAGACAGCGGTGAGTTCCCTAAAAGAGTCGTCTCCTCGTCTTTACCTAACTGACGTGCTGTGGATTCAGAGTCCCCTATTTCCATTGGAGCCTCAGCCTCTTGTTCTGTAGCCCTACTTTCTTGTGGTTTTACGTCCAAGGACTAATTCTTCTCTGGCATGTGTTCTCCTCTCTCAGTAGGCGTTTCTTTTTCCTCAGAAGTTTCACGAGTGGTTTGCTCAACCCAATCTCTCGTTGCTTGATCAACGCAAGAATGGTTAAGCCTCGGTTCGTCCCTGCTATGCTTTTTTGTTTTGCTATCTCCAAGGTACTAGGACTCGCGTTCTGTGCCATCTCCGTAGAGAAAGAACGAGATGCTTGCCCCCGTTCCCCTGGTCCAGCATTTACTGTCATAGTGGTCCGCCTTGTGCCGGAAGAACTGGGTCCAGCCACACTCCTCACATCTAATGATTCGGAGGATGTGCCGCTCTGTCCCTCCTGCTCAGAGGTCCCGCTAGTACCTGTGTTTAGTCGGAGCCTCCTCTGCTTTCCCATTTTTTTTATTTTGGTTTATTGTCCACACAAGTCCCACAAGTAACTATGGAAAGATTCGTCACTCCTAACAGAGCCCCGCATTATCTTGAGAAGGCTGGTTACTTGGGGGTGTCGCCCGGTGCCCTCAAGGGAACGTTGGATGTCGCATCTAGCCCTGCGACAATTCATCCGTTACCTTACTCTTTAGATTGGGGGAGTTGGTGCGCGGCGGTAGACTTTGCAAAAGATTTTGAGAGTTTTTTGGGCTTTTTCACTTATATCTACCACTAACAAAGAAAATCCTGGCCGTTCTTCCATCCACCACCCGGAGTATGAACTCAACCGCTGAGTGTGTACTTAATTACAAAATAGTTAGATTATAAGCATACTTTAAAATTTTATGGTTACATACCTAATATGTCTGGTTTCAATAATTTAAAAAAAAATATTTCTAGTGGATGGCTGCACCATAAAATTATGAAAAAAATGATAATTTCTACAACATTGTACAACAATTTGATTTCGGGCACCAAGCACTGGTGACGGCGCACTTTTATGAGTTAGTGAATAGGTATTCAGGAAGAGAATGAAGCCAAATACAACTCCTGAAAAGGCAGAATGTATGAAAAAGAAAGAATTGATTTTAATGATTAACAAGAAATATGTATCAACTTTAAAATCAACCTGAATAATTATAATTATTAATTCTGTACTAAAAAATACATTTGATCTAACCGTGTCACAGAAAATATTTTACCGAATAGATAACTACTTCAAAGTTTATCAAATTAAATATAGGTTAAGCTGCAACAAGTAATTATATATTTATTACCGTATACCGCACATGAATTACTGAAAATAGTTGTGGATTAAATACCCTTGTGTATCGGTTCGATTTATTATAATCCCCGTGGTGCCAAGCAAAATCACGTTCTAGTTGATATCATTAATTCCCAATACGCGGCTGATATTATGCTTCAAATATATTTACTGTGATGGAAAAATAATTCCCATAGCCCTAAACTGAGAAAATATAACCTGTTTCTTTGCATTTTCTAGGAAAATCAATCGAAGTATTATCAGAATTCACAATAGTTTAGGTCCTTTAATTAGAATAATAATAATTTGTTCACAACAAAGATTTATAAAGTGTGTACAAAATAAATATTGTAAACAAAACTATGAACTGATAGGTGAATAACACCTGTTTCAGATATTATATATGTAATTGTAAACTAATATTATGATTAAAAATAAATAAGATAAAAAAGATAAAACCATAAAATTTTAAAACATTTAAAATACATTTAAAATATGCCTATCTACAATAATTTAAAATAGTATTCATTATAAATTAAACTTAATTAAATATTTTTTTTTTTTTTTTGAAAATGAACACGTGTTATAAATTTTGATAAATTCTATCTAATGTCATTAAATAGCTAGCTGTTATAATGACAATACATCTTGAAACTATTATTTTAATACACAGGGTGGCTATTTGAAAACGAAACAAATGCCATTTTGGACAGCCCAGGTCATTAACGAATTGGTGAGCCACTATATGGGCTACGTGGATAGTAGCGACGCAAGAATAAATAATAACCAGAAGGACATCTCTCATTTAATTCCTTTGTAGTTGGTGCCGACGAGCTATGTCCTCGTCTCTTAGTTATTACTTGATTTCCACCGAAAAAAAGGTCAGGAAAATAAAAAAATATTGGGTAGCTATTGATTTATTTTTTAAGTTCATACAATACAAATATAGGTAAGTAAAAGATTTATATATATAAAAAAATATTTACTTATCTTTCCAAATGACAACCTTTTTGTCTTTTATAGTTTTAAAATTTCGGTTAATACATTTAAGAGTATAAAATAATTTTACTCTACCGAATAATTTTATTAAATAATTATGTGAAAATTTTTTACATGGACGTGAAAAACTTGTACCTATTTTTACAAATAATTTAAAACGTATCTATTACATTTTTGTGTGTAATAATAGTTTCAAAATTTATTTGAAATATTACCTCTAAAAAGGAGATAAATTTTACAAAATTTGCTGAAACAAACGTTACAAATTACCTTATTTATGAATAGCCTTAATAATATTTACTTATCTTATCTGCAAATAAACATTTAATTTTCAAAAGGATGTCTCAAAAAAAGATACCATCTGTATAATATACCATATTGTATAATCATATGTTTTCGAGAAGACCAAAAACAATGTGGAATCTAATGCAACAATTAACAGGAGAATGATAAAAACCATTATTATTATTATTATTATTATTATTATAGTAAAAGCTGGTACTATTACACTTTCTTCGACTTCTACATACATTTAATAAGCTGTTGCCAACAAGTTAACACTTTTCACTGTTGAATATAACATCTTGTTAGTGGAGACAAAATTCGTATAGTTATGATCCTTATCCATTTATTTGATTTCAAAAAACTTATCTGCAAACGTATAATATACTTCAGAACTTTGCTACATTTTACCTGAAGAAAGAACCTTTATTTAATTTTGAAATCCATACAGCAACTATGGTAATCTTTTGTTTAATTTTGAGAAAAAATATTACAAATAATAAAACTATACCTATAAAGAATTGTA